CTGTAGGTCGCGTTCAGTGTACGCGACAAGGGTAAGGTCGTCTGCATACTGAAGTTCAGTAATGGAACCTGCCGATACCTTTGTTCCTGCCTGAAGTCATTTATGTTGAAAAGACCCTTCATTCAGTACTCAATGTTCACCCCGCCGGTTAAATTGGCACTTGCACGAGTAAGGAAGGCAGCCAAGAAAATGGAAAAGAGAGTTGGTGCCACTACATATCCTTGTTTTACCCCCATTTGGATGGGGAAGAAGTCAGACTGGGTGTTATTATGCAGGACACTGCCGTTCATGTTATTGTGGAATTGCCTCACAATGGCAATGAATTTTGGTGGGCAGCCAAAACGGCTGAGGGTCTGCCAGAGGACTGCCCTGTTGGTCGAGTTGAAGGGCTTGGTTAGGTTGATGAAGGCCATGTACAGGTCACGACACTGTTCTCTGCACTTTTCCTGTATCTGACGGGCAGCAAAGATCATGTCAGTGGTGCCACATGATGGTCTAAAGCCACATTGAGATTCTGGGAGGAAGTTTTCTGCCTCAGGAAGAAGTCTGTTGAGGAGGACTTGGGCAATAACCTTGCCAGATATGGACAGCAGCGAGATCCCGCCGTAGTTGCCACCGGTCTCCCTTGTACTTATAAATATTGACGATGGAGGTGTCTTTAAGACCTTGGGGGATTTCCTCCTTTTCCCATATATTCTTCAGGAGAGAGTGGAGACGGCTGGTTAGCAAAGGTCCTCCTGCTTTATACACCTCGGCTGGGATTCAATCAGGCCCTGAGGCTTTGTTATTTTTCATCTGTTTGATGGCAGTAGCTACCTCATCCAGGGATGGAGGATAGCTGAGGTGGGTCAGCTCTGGATGTTGTGGGACCTGCTGGGTAGTCAGGACATCCACATTGGTGGTTCGGTTGAGCAGCGAATGGTAGTGCTATTTCCAGCAGTGAAAGATGCCCTATTCATCTTTAATTAGGTAATTACAGTTAGATGAGCGAAGGGGGGCTGCGCCATAAGTGATTGGCCCATAAAATGTTTTAGTGGAATTGAAAAATTTGTGCATCTTGTGCTGATCTGCAAGCTTTTGCATTTCACAAGCTATATTTTTAAACCAGTCGTTTCTTAGTTTGCGAAATTCATGTTGGGCCGCTGCTTTCTTCTTGCGCAAGGTATCAGTTTTGGTCCGAGACTGAGGGTTGTTCTGCCATTCAGTTAAAGCAGCACATTTATCATCGAAGAATACATTCATCAAACCAGTCCTGGTATATTCTTTCAATCTGGCCAAGCGTCACTCTGCAGATTTTTGTCATGACATTATCGAGAAAACTCCATTTGGCACTTGGATTTAGGTTGTTTATTGTCGGGTTGTTTATCAGTCCATGTTTGAGCTGCTCTCTGAAAGCATGTGCTACAGCTGGATCCTCTAGATGCTTAGTATTAAAACCTCTTCTGGAGGCTTGCTGCCTTAGCCATTTTGGGGCGAGTGAAGTGAGAGTTTGGATCTGACGAGCCGATGATCAGTGTCACAGTGGTCTGAGTCACGCATGGCATGGGTGATGAGGACATCTCGGCGATCTCTTTCTCTGACAATGATGTAGTCAATGGACCTAAACAAGGTATTGGTGATAGTGAGGTTGTGTGCAGCACACTTGCTGAGGAGGAGTAGGCCGTTGGGAATACAATTGCCTAGTTCATTTCTCCCTATGGTTTCCTGCCAAATGTTAGCATCTTTGCTAACTCTGGCATTGAAGTCACCTTGGAGCCCAACCTCATCATCCCTGGGGATAGAAGATAGCACTCTGTTGAGGTCAACGTAAAAGGACTACTTGATGTCATTCTCTGCATCCAGTGTTGGGGCATATGCACTGATGAAGAAGGCATGACGTGAGAGATTCAGTGGGACTCGGATCATCATGAGGCGCTGGTTGATCCCAATAGGCATTTCAGTTAGCCTATGTAGGATGCATTGGCGGATGGCAAAGCCAACTCCATAAATGAGGTTTCACTCCACAGCAGGCTTACCCTTCCAGAAGAAGGTATAGCCAGACCCCCGTTCTGTGAGTCAATCCTCATATGGGAGCCGGGACTGCTATGTCGATGTTATACATAGACAGCTCTTTTGCCAGTATCCAGAGGGGTCCTGACATTCCATGCAGCGACCTTAAGAGGTTGTATAGTTTTCGATAGCATAAGTATGACCTTACTGGGAGCGGTTGCCTAGTCAGGTCCGCTCCTTAGGCAGGCTATGTTTAGGGCACCCTTTCTAGCCCCCTCCCCACGTGGAGTAAGCAGAGTGGCTCATCGAAAGGGCTGCTGAGTCGCACAGACAGGACCAGATTGCACTGCTCCCTAGATCCCAGTGTATAAACAATCATCTTATCTATGATGCCCATGTGCAGAGTTGTGACTAGAGACTCCCGACAGTCATCTCTGCCTGTCCCCGTCGCCACTTGTTCATCATCATAGGATTTTTGGGGGTACAGTCAGTTCTGCTATAACGCGATAGTTGTGTTCTTGTAAAATATCGTGTTATAGAAAATCGCGTAATAGAAATAACAGGGCTTATGGAGAAAATAGGGTTAGGTGCAGATTACTACTCGAAATCGAAAAAAAATTATGAGTTAGCCTAACACAAAGGATAGCACAGTCTAAATAAATGTTACATTCATATCTAATAATGAAATCATACAGTAAATGTAACACTTTACCTTGAGAAAATATGAGTATAACTTGATGGGGGAGAAGGGTGATTTTGAGGTTGATAACATCGAGCTTCTCCAAGTGTTATATCCTTTCTTTTACGATCATCACCGGGAATTCGATCACCAGAACGCTTCTTGGAGATATTCTTCTTTACCATATTCACAGTTAATACCACAAAATTGGAGAAATAGTAAGCAAAAATCGCGTTACAGGAAACAAGCGTTCGCGTTATACAAATATCGTTCCTCTATTCATAAATCGCGTTAGAGCAAATTCGCATTATCAAAACACGCGTTATAGCAGAACTCACTGTACAGGGGTTTTGATGATGATTAGAAGTATGATGAGCTGGATGATGGCTGCGCGTGAGTTGATTTATGTGGTGAAGCAGGAGCGCAGACTGCAACCACACATCTTGGTTCTTCCTTTTCCTGATCCAGTGGTGCAAGTGTTGCAACGACTGGGGAGAGGGAGAGTCGCAATGGACTGCTGATAACCCAGTTTGTCGGGTTTCGCCTTAGTAGCCTGTCCATCAGACATTGCCTTCGTCTGCCTGTGTAGTCGTTGGGTTTCCATGGTGGTCACCTCTTCCGCTTATACTGCCATTGGGGTCTTGTTGGAGCTCTGTAAGCATGTCAGCCTGATGCGGATCTCCACCGCAGATTTTTCGTTCTGGATTTACTCCTGTAGCCTTATACCTACCAAGGTTAATCCGCAAGGCAGTGGGGCAGTGGTTGGTAGGTGCCAAGAAGTGTCCACATACCACTGGGCCTATGCGCCGTCCCTCTGGGGCCCATTGCTACTCTGAGATCCCCTGCTGATCTAGCCTGGGTCCACGAGGCACCCAGTTACCATGTGTTGCCACGAGGAGGCACAGCAGGAGTCTTGGTGGTGAGGATGCTGTCAGGTGAAGACTTATGCAAGTTGCTTCCCTGTTTGCCTCGAGGGCTAGCCAGTGGCGGCAGCTGAAAGTGAGAGGGAGCAAGCAGTGCTTGCACCTTAACACTAACATAATGCTGCCACGGCGCAGAATACTCCGGCTACACCAACGTTCTCTCCACCCTGGAAATGCCATCCCTCAGTGACCTCCACCACCAAGCACTGGAAAGGTTTGGCAGTGGACTACTGCACCACCCTCGTCATCGCCACCTCCTGCCACCTGCAGCCCCCCACCCAACTCACGCAGTCCGCCACTACAACAAAATACAGCCCATAAGAGCCCGCACGGATAGATATAAGAACAGCACCATCCCGTCTATTGTTAAAATAATAAACAACTCCTGATTTATGTACTGTACAGCCCTGTAAATGTATTCAATGCATATTATATCATTATGTCTAGATCAAATGTAAGTCTGTATATTTTCAGCCACCGGCTGCAACTCTATTAATAAACAGTTTATTATTATTATTACACACACACACACACACACACACACACACACACACACATACACACATACATACACATACATACATACATATATATATATATATATATATATATATATATATATATATATATATATATATATATATATATATATATATATATATATATATATATATATATATATATATATATATATATATATATATATATATATATATATATATATCCCAACACTACCAAAACAGGAATTAACACAGCAAAGCATCCAGAGTGAGGGTGATGACTCAATACCCAGCTGCCCTCTTAGCTCTGAACAGGGTTTTCAAAATTCTTAATTTTACATTACACATCCATCTTACTGTTCTCATTTCAGCTTATTCAACCATTTTAAATTACATACTGTATAAATAGTATATACAGTGGGGTCTCATTTTGCGCAAGTATATCATACTGGTAGACATCCGCGCATCGGAAATCCCCCACAAGTGATGCTCTTTAATATGTGTTAAAATTTCTGTATTGTACTGGACTCACCAGACCTTTACTCTAGAATGACTTTGGGTAACCAATTTAACCTTTCAAAAATGACATACTGATATAATGTCACATAAACTGCATATACATTATAAAATAAATATTTTAAGAAAGCCCAGGAAGTTAATTATGTGATACTCCACCATCTCCACCCAATAGTGGAGATGTGGGAAGCTCTGGGAAATGATAGGGGTCCAGGCAGGGGGTAAAGGATTGTTGGACTAAAACCCTTCAAAATCAATTACAGACACTTTATCTAATCATGCCAAATATAAACTTCATCTTATATAATAGTGCTAAGTATTTTATAATAAAATGTCTGTAGAACATTCACAAAATAGTAAATAAAATTAGATTTACAGTATAAAGATATTTACCTGAGCAAAGACTGCTGCCACAGTCACTCTCTGCATCTCATATACATGCTGAGTTTCCAAACACTTTACAAGTTTCTCAATATGTTTAGGAGATTCATGCACCAGCATCCTGTTGTTATTGTTGGGAGAAATGTATAACAATAAATAGAAGTATTCAGTAGAGAGAAAAACAACAACACAGTAATACTAGATAACTAAAATACTATACAGTCCAGTACAGTAGTAAACTAAAATTATCCTATACTTGTACATTGCACATATTTTTTAATATACTATATATATATTTCTATTCATATCTGGTCTGATTAAGAAAAGTTCTACTGTGCCACCTACAAACTACAGTACTGTATTAGCTGGATATTATATAGTAATAAATAATTATTTAATTGCTTCACATAAAATTTATTTTGTTAAATTCTGCATTTAAACATGAAGGTGATACAATATCATAAGGTATATATATATATATATATATATATATATATATATATATATATATATATATATATATATATATATATATATATATATATATATAATATATATATATATATATATATATATATAATATATATATATATATATATATATATATATATATATATATATATATATATATGTATATATATATATATATATATATATATATATATATATATATATATATATATATATATATATATATATTTCATGTAAATCCACAATGAAAACGTGATAAGATAATCTTATAAATCACACGGAAAATGGAAACAACGTGTGATTTTATCAAGATATATTATATTAAACCTCTATACAGGTAATAGCGTTTCGTTAGGTTGAAAAATATTTACCGGTAACTACCCGGTAACAATGGAGCTTGATGCACCAGCGCGCCACCGCTGTGAACTCAGCCGGGTGCAGGGCAGATCTGCTTGCATCATCTGTGGCCAAGTGACCAAATGCATTTGGCAAGGTATGCACAGGTGTCTTGAGACATAAAGTATTCATTTTTAAAAGTTTATTTATAGATACATAAATTTTTGTTAATTAAATTGAAACATCAATATGATGTGAGTCAGGTCATCTACACACAGTTGCCAGTTTCAAATTTTCCTTTTAAATTACAAGTTACACCAGTGTTCTTTTTGCAAATCGTTTTACAATACTGTGGGTGAGCAGGTATACTAACTATTACCGACCCACAGAAAAAATTAACAAATGGAATACCAAAATGTAAAAAAAAAATCTGTCTGACTTGCAACACTGTTGGTAGGGTCAGGTGTTCAGCGGTACCTGCCAGGACCCGGTAATCAAATTTATAACAATATCTAACACTCCAATTACTGTAGTTTATCAGTGTAGGCAATGGAAGCTAAAAATAACAGTTAAAAATTGAGAAATTGGAAAATAACCTAGAAAAGATGTTGGGCTATTTTTGGTGGGGCTGAGGGAGAAATTGCCAGCTGTTTGGTCTTTTTGGCGGAGAGTCAACATAAATATCCATTATAGTGTTGTTTGGTGTCTTCTGTGTATTTTAAAATAGATAACATAAATTAAAAGTGCCCATCAGCGATAATAGTATATAAAAACTTATTATCTTTCTGGAAAATGAAAGCAAGAAAAATAAAGACCCTTTAAAACACCAACAATTTCAACGTGCGCTAAAATTAAAGCTGGCAGAGGCCGTCTGTTTCCAGCGCCAGCGACCAGGGCTCTGCCGTATCAGCTAGACGGTACACGTGTTTTTCGAATCGTTTTCAGTTAAAAAACTTTTACATCACAAGTGAATTAGGATAGAATATTATTGTAATATAACAGTTTTTAACTGAAAACCATTCGAAAAGCGATTACGGTAACATCTTTTGAACGAAAGAAAGCGAGTCATTGTTTTTGTCACGATTTTATCCCACTTTCCACTGAATACGTACGTCATTTCAGCAAAATATTACATTTCCATATTCTCAGAAATAAATAGTAGTTTTGCTGAAACGTAATGCATTTCAATGTAAATTTGGATAAACTACATGAAAACAAAAGACTTTACCTAACCTTCCGATGTTCAAGATATGTTACTCGTATTTTTAATAGTTTTCGGTTAAAATACTGTTATATTAGTGATATTCTATTCATACTGTGGTTGATATAATACCTTCACGGAAATGTAATATTTTTTGCTGAAATGACATACGTATTACAGTGGAAAGTGGGATAAAATTGTGATGAAAACAATGACTTTCGCTTTGTTTCGTTCAAAAGATGTTACCGTAATCACTTTTCGAATGGTTTAGTTAAAAAACTGTTGTATTGTATTACAATAATATCCTAATTGACTTGAATAAATATTACGATACCATATTTCTGAATATTTTCATTAAAATCCATCAAAATCATTTTCCTTGTCATCGTCTGCAGCACCAAACAGCTTCTCCCAGTCCTCTCCTTGAACAGGGCTAGAGGGTAACGTGTTTTTCGAATCGTTTTCAGTTAAAAAACTGTTACATCACACGTATATTTTACCTAAACTGCGCCTGAATGAATATATTCTCGGAAATAAATAGTAGTTTTGCTGAAACGTGATGTATTTCAATGTAAAATAGGATAAAATACATGTCGAAAACAAAAGACTTTACCTAAGCTTCCGATGTTCTTGAGATGTTATTCGTTTTTTTAATAGTTTTCGGTTAAAATTCTGTTATATTACAATGATATTCTATTTATACTGTGCTTGATATAATACATTCACGGAAATGTAATATTTTTTCCTGAAATGACGTACGTATTACAGTGGAAAGTGGGATAAAATCGTGACGAAAACAATGACTCGCTTTCTTTCGTTCAAAAGATGTTACCGTAATCGCTTTTCGAATGGTTTAGTTAAAAAACTGTTGTATTACAATAATATTCCCTCCTAATTGACTTGAATAAATACTTGAATGGAAATATACAATATTTTTGTTGAAACTACCTGCGTTTCAGTGTAAAGTGTCGTGATAATAAATGGTAAACAAGTTTATAGGACGTAGTGTTTCTCTGAAGGTTTTGTTGTTCCTTTACCCTCAAAAACTTGGGTCGACCTATAAACGAGGAATATCATAAATTAACGATTTCTTGGTCATAAAATCGGGGTCGACCTATATACGAAGGGGGGTTATAGACGAGTATATACGGTATATGCAGTAATACCCCGATTTACGCGATTCTACATTTACGCGGTACCTAGCCAGAACCGGAATTTCATTTTACGCGGTGCATCTACTCATATACGCGGGTGAAGTATAACTTTTTTTATTTAGCTCATAAAATTCATACAAATTACCCAGCCAGAATATAATTTACATTGCTGGAATTTTTACAATATGATGATCATTTTGAATAAAAACATCATGGATTTTGCATTAGACATACAAATTTTAGATCTAATGTAATAATTTGGTTTACACAAAGCAAATATTTTATCTTTTATGCAAAATATATGAAGTTTACATTCAAAATATTTCCTGGCGTGCAAGGAATCCAGAAATGTCAATATTATCCTAAGTTTACTCTGAGGTATTATTTATTACTAAAAATGTAAATATATTGTTTTCTCCCAAACATTTCTCTGGCAGGGAGGGAAGGTGGGGGGTGGGGGGTAGAGAGGGAGGGAGGAACCCAGCGAGCGTGGGAAGAGGGGGAGGAGGCGGAGGTGGGGTATTTTGATTGACAGATAGTGTCTGGGTGAAGTATATATTTTTTTATTTACTTAAGATATTTGTTTTAGCTCATAAAATTCATACAAATTACCCGGCCAGAATATAATTTACATTGCTGGAATTCTTACAATATGATGATCATTTTGAATATAAACATCATGGATTTTGCATTAGACATACAAATTTTAGATCTAATGTAATAATTTGGTTTACACAAAGCAAATATTTTATCTTTTATGCAAAATATATGAAGTTTACACTCAAAATATTCCCTGACCTGCAAGGAATCCAGAAATGTCAATTATATTATCCTAACTTTAGTCAGAGGTATTATTTATTACTATACCTTAAAATCTAGTGTTTTCACCCAAACATTTCTCAGAGAGGGAGGAGCCAGGGAGCATGGGAAGATGGGGGGGGGGTTGAGTCCATTATTTGAATAGACATTAACCTGGGAACTGTATTTCTCTTAAATATTAATTGTGTGTACATACCATCATAAAATTAAGATGTTGTTTTTACTACAACATAGGTATTGTGTCGGAAAAAGTGGAGTTTGGGGGTCGGGCCAGTCTCTATTGGAATTAATCCCATATGTTCTGTTATTCCATTTAAGCAGTTTTCGTTTTACGCGGTACCCCGTGGGTTCAATTGACTGCGTAAATCAGGGTATCACTGTGTGTGTGTGTGTGTGTGTATATATATATATATATATATATATATATATATATATATATATATATATATATATATATATATATATATATATATATATATATATATATATATATATATATATATATATATATATATATATATATATATATATATATATATATATATATATATATATATATATATATATATATATATATATATATATATATATATATATATATATATATATATATATATATATATATATATATATATATATATATATATATTTATATATATATATATATATATATATATATATATATATATATATATATGTGTGTGTGTGTGTGTTTGTGAATATATATGTATATATATATATATTATATATATATATATATATATATATATATATATATATATATATATATATATATATATTATATTATATATATATATTATATAAAATTCATACAAATTACCGGTCAGAATATAATTTATTGCTGGAATTCTTACAATTTGGTGATCATTTTGAATATAAACAACATATATTTTGCATTAAACATACAATTTTAGATAAAATTGTTCTCTAGGCTCAATTATGTTATCTTTTGTCCAAAATATATATTTATATTCAAATATTCTCGATTACAAGGAATCCAGCAATGTCAATATCTAACTTAATCTAATTATTTAATACTAAATGTTAAAAACTCTTGAATGGAGGATTGGTGGGGGGTGGGGGGAGGTTGGGACTGACCGTGGTTGGAAGAGGCAAGGT